TCAGCTACATGAACAGCAGATCTTTCTCAAAGGACAGGTTGAGGTTTTGAACTCTTTCCATTCACTCATCTTCAGTACCTTGCAAATTAAGTATTGTTTGTACTGCTACAGGGAAACAGGCGTTTTCTCATTTTTTTTAAAAGGTGATCTGTTTTCTTGAGGCTCCCTTTCCTTGTGTTCCTCCTCCAGGAGTAGCTAAAAACCAAGTCAAGGGAGTCCTTCATTTTACCTGAGAAGAATATGGGATTTATATCATATTCAGGAGACTCAGGCTGGGGCCAAACATCAACGACCTTGTCCTGAATGTTGAGTGCAGATGATACCAGAGCAGGGCATAGCAGCATTGGGACCTAATGGGTTTTAATGTCAAAGGGGGTTTATTTTTAATTTGTCAGTAATTATTTTTAGTATGAATAAATAGTGAACATCAATTTAAAAATCTCTCTTGACTTTATTCTTAAAAGGATCCCTAGGGAAAGCTGTAATCTATGTTTTGTTAAATTTGAGATTTTTTTCAATGATTGAAACTAAGGCTGTCTCTACAGGCCAGGCAAGCTCTTGGGTGTATCACCAGCCTTTGGTGGTCAGTGTCCTGACTTGCCTGTCAGCAGTGTGACAGTTTGCTGCTGCTGCTACTATTTCTTCTTCTTCTTCTTCTTCTTCTTCTTCTTCTTCTTCTTCTTCTTCTTCTTCTTCTTCTTCTTCTTCTTCTTCTTCTTCTTCCTCTTCCTCCTCCTCCTCCTCCTCTTCTTTTTCCTCTTCCTCCTCCTCCTCCTCTTCTTTTTCCTCTTCCTCTTCCTCTTTGTCCTTTTTCTTCTTTTTTATAAGCAGGGCTTTTCTGTGTAGTCCAGGCTGTTTTTGTTTTGTTTTGTTTGAGTGTTTGTTTGTTTGTTTTTCAAGACAGGGTTTCACTGTGGTTTTGGAGGCTGTCCTGGAACTCGCTCTTGTAGATCAGGCTGGTCTCAAACTGACAGAGATCTGCCTGCCTCTGCCTCCCAAGTCCTGGGACTAAAGTTGTTCAACACCACTGTTTCCAGGCTGTTTTTACCTCTGGATTCTCCTGCCTCTGCCTCCAGAATGCTAATATTACAGATTGTACTACCAATACTGCTTGTTACTAGTTCTTGAAAAAAAATATTTTTTTTAAATTTTGCTTTGAGAACTTTCCCATTTCCTGTTTTCCTCTTAGTTTATTTTCTTGTTACGATTCTTTTTCTCAAAAGAAGTTTTTCATACTATACATTTTAATTATGTTTTCCCCTCCCCCAACTCTTCTCAGATCCTTCCTGCCTCCCTACCCACCAAACTTTATTCTTGTTCTCTCTCTTTAATAGAAACAAACAAGGCAGGCAATGGTGGCACACCTCTTTAATCTCAGCACGCAGGAGGCAGAGGCAGGTGGATCTCTGTCAGTTCCAGGAGAGCCAGGTCTGTTTCCCTGTGAAACAGTCCTGACTGTCTCAAAAAACCAAAACAAACAAACAAAAAGAAACAAACAAATAGAAACAAAATTTAAAAAACTACAAAAACACAAAAATGGAAATAAAATAAGCAATCAAAAACTAATAAAACAAAACCAAAAAAGGGGGGGGGGCAGCAAAACAAAGCAAAATGAGCTTTGGGACCTGAGCATGGGTCCTGACCTGAAATACGGTTAATACACTTAGTGATTAATTATTAAGTGTGGTTACTATTTTCTTGTTGGAGAAAGCTGACTTTTACTTTGTCATCAGGTACCAATTGCAGATAGCATCTTGGTTAGATTTATTTTTATTTATATGTATGTGTGGCCATCTGTGTGAGTGTATGTGTGGGTGCTTATGGGGGCCAGAAGATCCCTTGGAGTTGTGTTTACAGTGAGTTGTGAGCCACTTAATGCGGGTGCTGTGAACTGAAGTTGGGTCCTCTAGAGAAACAGGAAGTGCTCTTAAGATGCTGAGACATGTCTCCACCCTTTCCATTTCTGTAATGAGTCTTCTCTGTCCTGCCAGCCAGCTCCCAAATACTGACACGGAGATCTCTTATTAATGATGAAAGCTCGGCCTATAGCTTAGGCTTGTTTTCAACTAGCTCTTATAACTTAAATTAACCCATGTTTTTATTAATGTATGTTCTACCGTTATTAGGACCAACACCAGGCTGACGCGTCCCTGATGATGGGTAGGGCACGCACAGGGACGTGCTACACCATCACAATATCACTCACCACACATTACGGACCTGTATGAGGGCTCTGCACACGGGTGGAACCTCAGTGTGCACGCGCAGTTTTCCCTTTAAAGTTCCACCTATCCCCACCTCTCCCCTCCTCTTCACTCACACCCTCTTCTCTGTCTCCCTTCTCTTACTCCCTGCCCTGCTCTGTTCTTCCCTTTCTCGCTCTCCCCCTCTCACTCTTCCACCCTATAATAAACTGGTTAATGTGCTCTCCATAGTTCGTCTCTCATCTTGTGCGTCTTTTTCTAGTTTAAGCAAAAGAATAACAACCGTATGACTTTTACCTGTATCCCCTTCTGTGTGTCTGACTCATTCCACATCTGGCTGTCTTTCCTTTCTCCTTACTAGAGTCCTCTCTGTTCCCGGAAGTCTTACCCAGCTTCTTCCTGTTGTTCTTTTGCTGCAGCGAGGGGCAATGAAACACGAATTATGAGTCAACAAACCCACATGGAATTTATTGAAGGGAAAGGGAAGGGGGGGTGTTGGCCAACTGGGAGCCGAGAGAAAGAAAGAAGTGGAGAAGAGGGGCAGAGAAGGGAGAGCGAGCTAGAGAGAGAGAGAGAGAGAGAGAGAGAGAGAGAGAGAGAGAGAGGAGAGGTGGGGCAAGGACAGAGAGGGGGAGGAGAGAGAGAGAGAGAGAGAGAGAGAGAGAGAGAGAGGTGGAGGTGCTCACTTAAAAGGAGAAGTTTGCACATGTGCACTGAGTCCTTCTGCAGCCCCATAAAGCGTGACATAGCTATGATGTGGCCATGCAACACAGGGCCTTTTGAGCTGCCTGAGTATCTACCTGAATGCTGTATGCAGTCCCACCCATTGTCAGGGGTGGAGTCAGCATAATTCAGGGTTCCAACACTTCCTCCTAGCTATGGACCATTCAGCTCTTTATTGAATCAATCAGAAGGTGTCTTGGCAGAGACACATCTTCACAGTGTAAACAAATATCCCGCAGCATATTTCCTTTGTGGTTTCTCTGCGTCTCGCCAAGTCTAAATATTCAGTATTTTCCTAGAAATAATGGCTTCAAGTCCCTTCTCCTCAAAATTCTGATTCTATTGATTTAATTAGTGTCTAGTTTTTTAATTTGCTTTAGATGTGTGCTCTTGTGTCCCTCAGATATTACTGACTTTTTTTTTTTAAAGACAGGGTCTCACTATGTAGCCCAGGCTGGCCTCAAACACATGCACCCTTCCTGCCTCTGCCTCCCTGGAGTTGGGGTCACAACAGGAGAACCACACCATGTACAGATTGTTCTGTTCCTTCCTTCCTTGTCTGTCTATCTACACATGTATCTACCTGTGCATCTATCTATCTATCTATCTATCTATCTATCTATCTATCTATCTCTCTGTCTATCTACTTAGAGTCAGGGTCTCACTGTTTCACTCTGGCTATCCTGTAATTCTTTATGTCCACCAGGTTGGTTTCCAACTCAGATCTTCCTGCATCTGACTCCCAGGTGTTCTTTTCTTTTCTTTTCTTTTCTTTTCTTTCTCTCTCTCTCTCTCTCTCTTTCTTTCTTTCTTTCTTTTTTTGTTCCTTTGGAGGGCTAGGAATATAGTTCAGTGGTAGAACAACCATCTAGCAAGTGCAGGGCCCTGGATTCCACAGAGTCCCATGAAAGCACAAAACAGAGAGAAACAGAAAACTATCTTTAGGTGATTCTCACGAGTAGCCATTTCTAAGCTATCTGTTCACAGCATCTACTTGGACAGCCTCTAATAAGCTCTCAGACTTAATTGCACCACCTGATCCCCACCCTGCCTCCTCCCCCAGTTCCCTCCTAATCCCTGGTGGAATGAGTCATTGACTATTTCTCTCCATTGCAAACCCAAACCCTCCAAAACCCCCATTGGCTCTGCCTTCAAACTCTCTCCAGAATCTGAGTGTTTGACTACCATCACTACTGCTCACCAGGCCCAGGTGGCCTCGTCTCACTGGTCAGAGCAGCCATAGCTTCCGACATCGACGGCAGGAACAGCCTGTTGATCTCTCTCAGACCTTATCCAGTCTTAATAATACTTAAAACAGACCACACTAAACCGGGCATTGGCGGCACATGCTTTTAGTCCCAGCACTAGGGAGGCAGAGTCAGACGGATCTCTGTGAGTTTGAGGCCAGCCTGGTCTACAGAGCGAGTTCCAGGACAGGCTCCAAAGCCACACAGAGAAACCCTGTCTCAAAAAAGCAAAAAAAAAAAAAAAAAAAAAAGACAGGCCACATGATAACTGTGTGAACTCTTCTCCTACCTCCTCTCACCCAGAACAAACCTCAAAGACTGCACAGCAGCCCACAGGACCACACAGTCTGTCTGTCCATACTCATAGGCTCATCTTCCTTACTCCTACTCTTAATGTGCAGTTCCACTCACAGTTTCGGGGCATCTCTGCAGCCTCCGAGGCTTTTCTGGTTAACTTGTCCAAGAGCACACAGTAGTAAGTGGCAGAGCTGGGGTTCCAATCTACCTCCGATTCTAATCTACTGCTTTTATTATTGTACCTTGTGACCTTTATACACCAAATGGCATCCATCCATCCATCCATCCATTCCCAAAGCCCTGTGCTGCTAGAGAGATGACTCAGTGGTTAAGAATGCTTGCTACATGTGGCACACTCACCCAGACACATAAAATACAATATAAATAAATCTAAACAGAGGGCCACGCTAAGGATACAGTAGTTAGCAAGACAACAGCCTTGAGTTTTGTGGAGTTCATGTTCTAGTTAGTGACAAAAACAACAAATACACTCAAAGCATAGTATAGCCAATGGTGTTAGCACTACTGAAAAAAAAATAATAATAAGAGAAAGAGAGAAAATGTGGGGTGGATGCTGCTGTTTTTTGATGGTGGAGTGGATGTTAGCGGATGTTTGTTAGCGGATGCTGGCTGGGAGGACCTCGAAGAGCACATTTGAGCAGAGATCTGAGTGGAAGAGTAGAGGGGAAGTGTGAGAATAAACTGTGGGGACAGAGAAGGAGAAATGTTAAGTCAGATAGAAGCCAAAGGAATTCACACGTGATTAAAGTCTCTCTCTCTCTCTCTCTCTCTCTCTCTCTCTCTCTCTCTTCTCTCTCTCCTCTCTCTCTCTCTCTCCTTCCCTCCCTCTCTCTTCTTCTCCCCCTCACCTCTCTCTCCTGAAACAGTTTCTTATACTATGCAACCCAGGGTAGCCTCAAGTTTGTCATCCTCCTGTCTCAGTCTGCAGATTACTAGCTCGAGTGTGTGCCGCCGCCCATGTAAATTGTTTTCCATGGTGAGTACCATGATACTGAAGACTCTAAATGACAGTGACTCCTGGTCATTTTAATATTTTCAGAAATGGTATGAACAGGTTGCTCTTGCTTAGGTGTGCCTGTGTCCTGACAGCTGGTAGGAGCTGAAGCATGTGACTTGAGTGAAGTCTCCCTGGCGTATCGAACATACATCAAATGTCCAAGCACATGGGCCCTCGATGTATGTCTTATTTGTGGGATCTGGGACAATTTCCTCCTTTATGCTAAGTTCAGTTCCCAAAACTATAATATACAGGTGACATCAGGATTTGATTTTTAAAAGACATATTTTGAAAATGGCGTGTGTGGGGTGTGTGTGTGTGTGTGTGTGTGTGTGTGTGTGTGTGT